GCATTGATGTTTGGTCTTTGCCCGCAGGCTTTTTGCCGCACTACGCAGGGTTTGCTGATCTATGTGTGGAGACCGAGGTGTTTCCCTGAGGTCAGCGATCCTCCAGTTCACTGGGAAATGTACCAAGATGAAGAGCATGAAGGCCATGAAGGTCATGAAAGCAGTGAAGGCCTCCAAGGCCATGAAGACGATGAAGGCGATGAAAGCAAGGAAGCCGGCTGCAGTGATGAAGAGCATGAAGGCCATGAACCCGATGAAGGCTGTGAAGGCCATGCCGACGTCGACGGGAGATGCCGACTGTGGCTCTGGCGGTGCGAAGAATGAGGCCCCCGCCTGGGCAGTGGCGCCGTTTTACGAGGGCGGCGACTTCGCAAACTGTGCCCAGTTGGAGGGCCGGTGCTGGGTGATGTCGGAGGCGATCCCGTTGTCCATCACCGTCGGCGAGCTCCTGGAGACGATGACGAGCCCAGGCTGCGGCAAGGGCTTCTGGTACGAGCCCATCGGCTTGGCGGTGGCGGTTCGTGCGCACAGAAGCCAGGGCGATGACAAGGGGAGCGATGATGACAAAAAGAAGGACGATGACAGCCCGAAAGATGACGGCAAGAAGAAGGACGATGACCCGGAGGAGAGCGAGCCGGAGGAGAGCAGAACCCACTCCATGACACCGGGGCCGTACCGTCTGGTGTGCCCGGATGATGGCACGTACGATGCCATGGACGATGACAGTCCGAAAGATGACGACGAGAAGAAGGACGATCATGACAGGAAGAAAGATGACGACAGCCAGCACGATGACTTCTCGCCGCCACACACTCCGCCTTTTCACGTCCCTGGGCATCTGTACAACTCCAGGACCCGCAGTTTTGAGCCGCTTAGGTAGGGCAGCATAACACAGCTACACACAGACACGGTTCAGCACACACACACACACACACGCACACACACACACACACACACGGTTCAGCACGCACACACACAGACAAAGACAGATAGCACAGCACATGGCAAGAACAGCAGCATTTTGGTCTCACACTCTGTTGGCCGATTGTGCAGAGGGGTCATCATACACATATCCTAGGCATAGGCCGGGGTGTGGGATAGCACATGCTAGACTTCACGATCGGGGCATGCACTTTCGGTCAGCAGTCGTGGCTTTTCCGAGGGGTGTGTTTCTTGAAAACGTTGGCTGCGTGTGGGGTTGCCCTGGGGTTTCCCTTTAGTTCCCGACTACTCCCCTAAGATTCAGGGCACCCGGACCCAACCCCCCCACTGTAGGAGTGCCTATCGAGTGCCCATCACGAAGCCTCCCCCAAAAGCCGAAGCAACCTCCCCTGTCCCTCCACCCACCCCCCTTTCTCTTCACTTCCCGTCCCTGCTACTGCTGCTCTGGTCAGGTGTCGTCGCATCCTACTACATCATCGATGGCCCGGTCCTTGGCTTGCCTTGCTTTCGTCTGCCTTGTGTCCTGTGCTCTCATCTCTGTGTCCCTCCCTTTGCTCTCATGCAGGTCCCGACATCGACGACTCCGGCGAGCTCGGATGCATTTGCCGCGACCTTGAGCAGTGTGCCTGTGCTTCGGGGTGGGTTAGTTTTCGTGACTTCCGGGTTTCGTGGTCGTGCCTCCGAAATCCTGCGAACTTCACCCTGAGCCCCCGAACCGAAACCCAGCCGACCAGGTCCCTCTGCCAGCTTCCATGACATCGGCCACGACCTCAACATCGTCTTGCATCGTTCTTGGTTTTGCTAGCCTGCCGAAAGCCCCCACCATCCTCGAAGCCCCCAAAGCCCCGCCCCCAAAAGCAGCCCGAAACCCCAAAGCCCCACGACATCCCTTTGCAAGCTGTCCCTTGTCTTCTGCTTCGCAGGCCACATCATTGTCTTTGGCGCCCACGGCGCCTCTAGTGCCTCTGGCCGGGAGCTTGAACTCACCGACTATGCGCCGGTGTGTTGTGGTGGGTTCACGTTTCTAGTCTAGTTCATTCTGCTAGGTCAGAACGTCCGGGGGGGCTCATGCCTCGACTGCTGGGGTTTGCAATCAGAGCACCCAGGCAGGTATGTCTTTGTCTTTCGTAGCTGCACGGTATCAATCCATGGATGCCTGCTCGACTGGAGGCAAAGCCAGAGTCTTCGCCGTCACATGTGCCGGTGGCCTGGGCCTTGGGTGTCTGCCGTGGCATGGTCTCTGACTTGCTTGAAGCCGAAAGCCACCCAAAGCTCTTCTGACTGCGAGGCTCGCGTGGACGATGGTTCATCGGCTCTGGTGCTGTCCTGATCACTGACCTTTACTGTGTGGATGCTGTCACTGACTGTCCCGGAATCCCGACCTTTTGCCCCATGAGGCACAACAGGAACCACCTTTGGCGCCTGGCACTAGGTGGAGTGAACTGAACGTGCCAACCGACGAGGTGTCCGCTGCTCTGGGTGCTGATCATGACCGGCTGGCAACATCTCAGAAGGCGGGCCTCCGCTCGTCGCGAACCTTGCCAACGCCGTGGCTTCGGGAACGGTTCGAGAGCAAGACCTGCGCCTGGGCGCCGCCGTTGCAGCGGGTGGCCTCCGAGGTGATGCTGTGGTGGAAGCACTCGCAAGCACTTTCCTGTTGGAGTTTCAGCAGCTGTGCTCTAACAAACGGCGCAAGACCACCTCCAAGCATGTGAAGGAAGCACACATTCTCGACGCCTTATCTACCTTAGGTAGAGGCTCCGAGATCAAAGACCTGATGCATCGCTTCTGTTCCGAAGAAGCCACTGCTCCAGGAGGCAGTGCCAGACTCCTGCTGCAGTCACCGGACGGATGAGCTGTTGCGAGCAACTGCCGACAAGTGCCGGCAGCTGCTTCGCCTGGAAGGCGATGACCGGCCCATGCTGATCATGGACGAGACAGTGTGGTCGGCTTCGTGGTCGCAGATCAGCAAGGATGGCGAGACGGCCATCGTCGGTGGCATCTGGCACGAGGACGATCAGCAGGACTTCTCCTATGTGCGGGCGACTGACCCCAACAACGTGGCGGAGGTGCGAAACATGCCGCGGCACTTCCTCGCCACGACGACACAGCACTTCGTGATGAAGAGGGTGGACTCATCCCGCTACGTCTTCGATGTCTGCTGCGTGCCAGGAAATCAGTCGCCCACCGCACTGCAGATGTTGCACCTCGCAGGTCGCATGATGGATGCCTGCACGGCCTCGTCACATGTCCCGCCAGTCGCAATATCTCATGACTGCGGGACCCGCAACATGGAGGTCTCACGAGCCCTCATCGGGCTGATTGAGGAGGCGGAGCTCCGGAATCACCCGTTCTGGTCCACCTGCGAGCGGACGCTTTCCTTACATGTGGCCCTTTGGAGGGCTTCAGTGGACACAGCCCTCCACGGGTAAGACCTTTCAGCTGGCGGGCAGCTGCGGAGGCTGGCACGTGCAGAAGCGGTATTCATTGGCCCATGTGAGCGGGCGCCGCTTCGTGAACTGGGGTGCTTTCTGGGTGTCCCTGTCGCCATGCTGTCGTCAGGACTTGGGCACGGCGACGTTCTGTTGCAAGGATGTCCAGAGCGATGCTGCGGCTAGCAGCAGGCTGGCCCCGTGTTTCGTGCCCCGGAGTTGGGACGCCATAGGCATCCACTTGCACCAGCTCGTCGGGGCTTTGATCGCTGCTTGCACCACGGCATCCCGAGGGTCAACGAAAACGGAACTTGCACATTCCGCGTTCAGCCTCTACTACCTGGTGATGCTCCACTTGTGCCGTGCCGCGACAAAGCGCCCGCAGCAGACCGACAAGTTTTGCCTCAGCAGGGTGACCGTCCGGAACCTAGCCCATCTGGCTGCACACACTATCAACCAGTGCCAGCTGCCCTGGGAGCATCGGGACTTGCAAGAGCTGGCGATCGAGGTTTATTTCTCGCGGATCAAAGCTGGTTACAGAGGCTCGCCAGCGATCAGAGATTGCATCGATGGGATATGCTTACAGGCAACGAAACAGATGTTAGAACTCAGGAAGTTGCCGCAGGACTTTCAGTTCTCCAAAGGCACTGTGCAAGACCGCACTCCCGTGTCGAGAGATCAGCTGACTCAGATCAGCAAGGAAGCCCTGGCGTGCTGCTGCAAGTTCCAGGCCATGATCTCCGTGGACGAGACCAGCGAGGACATCTACTCACACTTCAGACTCTGGTATCCAAAGAAGGGCCTGGCCATGCTCCAAGCCGAGGCTGACGACAATGCCGCTGGTGCCGGCGACGAGGACAGCCTGGAGCGCTTGCTGGACATGAAGGTGGATGAGGTCAGTGATCTTGCTGTCCTCGCTGGCGTCAACACCACCCTTCTGGACGAGCCCATCGCTACCGTGGAGCTGTTGCAGGCCCGAGCTGAGCAAGCGGAGGAGATGGAGGCCACGATGGAGGCTCTGGTCGCTCTGGATGAGCCGGACCAGGAGCAGGCTGACTCCACGATGCCCCCGGCAGATGAGGACTTCGCACCGCCTGCCTTTCCCGATGGCCTCCTGCCCGAGGAGCCACCGGATGATGCACAGGAGTTGGAGCCCGAAAAAACGCTCGCTGATGTCGTGAACCAAGCCATCGTCAAGGACCCGGCTAGCTTCGACTTGCGCGAGGCCACCGGCGCCGGCGAGGAGGCCACCCTCAAGCGGGCACTGTGCTTCCTCGGGCCAATACGCTGCGTGGCGCGGTGGGTGCGGTTAGAAGAAGGCAAGCTTTCGGAGGCTCTACTGAAGCGACAGTCCCAAAGCACGGCGTGGGGTCGAGTGGAGCATGAACTCGCTTTAGCTCGCCGCATTGCCTCCTTGTCTCTCACCAGAGTCAGCCGTGCCGAAAGTTGGGCAAAGACGCAAGCGGCCTTTCTCAAAGAGAAACTCCCGATGCGGGAGAGCCCATCCTCTGACGGTCTGCTTCCGGTGACATCGTTCCGACCACCTGTGAGTGGCCGCAAGTGGCAGCCGCTCGTTCTCTCCGGCTCACAGATCGGTGCAATTCCAAGATCGTCCTGGCCGTGACAATGACAGTGTTCCGGGGATCTGTGAACCGTGTGGTGCATGCAGTGGAGCTCCGCGCGACCGATGCCTCGCAAGGCATCTTCGTCGTCAACGGCCTCAGCACTCCAAGGGTCTTTGATCCCGTGGGGGTGGTGCTCGCTGAGCCGGAACTCGTGATGCAGCGAGAGAGCAAGCATGGCCTGACTTTGCAGCTGTCACCGGCGGCACGGCATGGCATCGAGATCCTCCAGCATGTGGCCCATCCAAAGCTGCCCAAGCCATCCGCTGCAGATGATCCCGAGGAGGCTGCAGGCGGAACCAATGCATCATCATCGCAGAGCGAGGCCAGGGACAGCACAGTAATCCATAAACCCTTCCTGTGACTGGGTGTGCAGGGCCTCCAGTTCACCGACCGCTCCTTCACAAAGACGAATCTCCGCAAATCTGTGGACCAATTCTGGCCTGCCTTGGCACGGGCCTATGCCCAGGCAGCTTTCGGAACGTAGCCGCAGTAGTGCAGCTGGGGGGGGGAGGGGGGGGCGGCGCTAAGGGCTTCGGGGTGGGTGCGACTCTGGAGCCTGCATGTTGCAAGTCCACTGCCCTGAGCGAGGAGGGGCAGCCCTTCGTGGATGCCAACGACTTTGTGCAGCTGGGTGAGCAAAAGCTCAGCTTCAAGGATCTCGCGAATCGATCGGCCACGTTCCTCGAGAAGAGTTCGAGGGCTCACGGGGCTGGACCTTCAGCCAGAGAGTGCATTCCTTCTTGCAGACCTTGCTGCCGAAGCGCAGAATCTCGGCTGATGACCCCTACACTCCTACAATCCCTAACCCCACAAGCCCCCAGCCCTCGAAACCAAACACAACAGCATCCGAGACCAAAAAAAAAACAAGGCGCAGATGGCTCCTTGTCCACGAAGCGTGTCAAGGACCGACACTGCAGACAAACCTCGCGGAGCCTACACCCTACACCCGAAGCACTGCAACTGCCAGGACTTTCTGCAGAAGGTCGTGCCAGCGACGAGTGCAGCGTTTTCTTTGCCGGGTTAGGGGGTTCTGCTAAAAGCACTCCTCGAGTTCGGACCCTGACGCTCATAGCATCACGACATGCCAGCCTAGGCTAGAGTGTTGTTTCCGACACAAACTTCTGATTCATTATGCGGGGCTCGGCAAACTTAAGCTTTCTTTCAGGGATCCGGCACTCGGTCTGTTTTACGTTCGCAAGAGCCTCGCACGAAACCACCGTGCGATGACGAAAAAGAGGACTGGGACCGCTCGCAGTTTTCCGTGCATGTCGTCACAGACCCTCAGAGCATTACTGCATCAGCTCCTCATATTAATATTTAATATCGAGCACATTCCCACATCCTCTGATTAGACACGGGTGCGATGCAGACACAGGGACATGAGCCGCTTTGTAGCTTTCCGCGCATGTCGTCACAGAACCTCCGAAATTTAAGGCATCAGCCGAGAATAATTATATTGAATATTGAGCACCTTCCCAAATCCT